ATGAATTGGGATGTTTTTATTCATCCATCATATTCATTTGACTTACAAGGAAGGTTAGGGAAACCGGAAATTCAAATAATTTTGAAATTTTATGTGACATTAAAGTAGTTCATCCGTAATGCAAAAGTATTTTTTGTTCGTGCGGAATTCCAGTCTGAGAGGGGTAAAACCACCCTTCGAAAAAAAAACCATTTTTATTTTTAGCAAATATTTTTTAAAGTACGAGGTATATGCAAAAATGGTTTATATGAAAGTTGTAATATATTTTATACTCTTTGCAACTATGTATTCAGATTTTACAAAATTGAAAAATTTTTGAAATCTCTTCCTCCCTCTTCATTACTTTCAACAATTTTTAAGTTCTTAGGACAAAAATAGAGCATCGTATATCAAATTCATCTATATATAACGATAGAAACTAGAGGCGATTACATATTTTTTAGAAATAGAAATAATTACATAGAGCTATAGGCATAGAGCTATAAGCGTAGGTAGGCGCTTTTGAATTACGCGTATACTCGTCTTGTTATTCTAATGACATTGCGATGTATTATATAAGATATAAACAAAAGCAGAGATTAATTAGCTTATGTAAAATAGTAACGTGTGTGCCAAGAGATAGGGATGCTGCGAATAAAGACATATCATTCTCTATATGCTGATAAAAGTTTACTTTGCACGTGAGATAATAACCTTCGTAGGATTCGAAAGATACTCTTAAAAAAAATATTACTTTAATATTATTTACTTATCTGTTCTAGATGTAGTATGCTATATGAACACTAATAATCAATGACATTAGATAATTCATACGTACTATAACTTTTGAAACAACGATAGAACGGTAAATTAAGGATAGATATGAAACAACGTATGAATGCTGAAGAACGTAAAATCCGTTTTAATTGTGAGACTAGATGCAATAAAGTAAGAAGAATTGCCGTCTCCGAAATCGGGAAGACAGTGCAAACTATGAGCAAGCTTATTATCATACATCATCCAAGTTGCAAAGATTAATCAATATTAAATGTTGCGCGTCAATAATTAACATTGTTACGCTGACGATTAGATTTTCGTATTGCCTTGAAAAAAATATAAATAAAATCATTTGATATATACAGTCTGTTCCACGAAAGCGTACGGGCTATTTCTGTTCCACAAGAGCGTACGGCTCCGCATTTTATTAATAGATGGCGCACAGATGTTAAGTTCAATTTTTCCTATTCTTTAAATAGTTCGGAAGAATGCTTTGAGGTAATATGGGTAGTGTGACTTGTTTTGTCTGTAACACAACAGAATAAACACAATGAGTGCTGCGTATGCAAGTCGTTTTGAAGCAGTGTTTCTTTGCATACATCCGAAAGGACCGAAAATGTCATATGCAGCTACCGGCCGCTACATGAAAAAGTCAGAGGGGTTTGTTAGAAAGTGGGTGAAACATTATAACAAAAGAAAAAGTGTTGACGACCTGCCGAAACGTGGCACCCAGCGCTCAACGATGAAAAAGGACGACAAAGCTATCATCAAGATATTTGAGAAGATCAAGATATTTGAGAAAAATCCTGGAACTCGATAACAAAGGAAATTGGACAACTTACTAAGTAAACGCATTTTAGTTTATTGAATTTATTAATAGATTCAAATCAAATTTTTAACAATTTTGTATTTTTTTAGGAGAAACAGCCCGTACGCTCTTGTAGAACAGACTATATATATAAATTTTATTAAAGATATTTTTGACACTATCATGGTGTTAGATTTTACAATTAATTTCCGAACTAAAAATAATATGTTGAAATTGCAATGATTGCTGCATAATTATTTCTCATCGCTCAGCTTCCAACATTTATTTAAATATATGTGATTTAAAAATGGATAAGTGTACCGAGAAAATCGACAGAGTTTCGTATACTTCTTGAATTTTATTCCGAAAGCTATTCAAACGTAACGTAAAGAAGTGAAAAAAATTAAGCACACATATGTTACTATGTCCTTATCCATAGCATCCCTATCTCTTGACATACACATTACTTTTTACATAAGTAAATTAATCTCTGCTCTTATTTATATCTTATATAATATATCGCAATGTCATTAGAATTAAGTTCTTCTCATCTCGCAATATGGGAAAATATCAACTCGATAACAAGACAGTGTAATTCAAAAGCGCCTACCTGCGCTTGTAGCTCTATGCCTAGAGCTCGATGTAATTATCTCTGTCTCTAAAAAATGTAATCGCCTCCAGTTTCTACCGTTATATATGGATGAATTTGAAATACGATGCTCTTTATTTTTGTCCTAACAACTTAAAAATTTTTGAAAGTAATGAGGAGAGGGGAAGAGATTTAAAAAATTTGTCAATTTTGCAAAATCTGAATACACAGTTGCAAAGAGAAAGTATGAAATATACTATAACTTTCATATAAACCATTTTGCATTATGCCTCGTACTTTAAAAGATATATGCTAAAAATAAAAATGGTTTTTTTTCGAAGAGTGGTTTCACCCCCCTCAGACTGGAATTCCACACGAACAAAAAATAGTTTTGCATTACGAATAAACTACTTTACTTCCACACAAAGTTTCAGAATTTTTTGATTTTCCGGGTTCCCTAACCTTTCTTGTTAGCATCAGATTTCCATTATTTTGTTCTCTGCAAAATTCACTTAATGGAAAAAATTTTGACTCTCTAGAGGCCTGCAAAATGTATATTTCAAGATCTTTTACTGAATAAGGTGACAAATTCTGGGAAGATGATTTTATGAAGCTGCCTATAAGATGGCAAATAGTCATGGATCAAAATAGTCAATGCATTATTTAATAAACTTTTCTATATTAAAAAAACTTATTTCTGTTTCTTACCGGAAATTTTAACATTACTTTTTAGCCGACTCAATATATTTTAAGACTGATATTCATAATTATGAAACATTACTTTATGTGTAATTAATTATAATTTACGATTTTTGAATGATAAATTACCGATTTATATTTTCAGACCGTCACTGGGCTATTCGGATCAGTCTCTCTTATTGTACAAAATAAGTACAGGCTGATGAATATTCAGATATTTATAAAATTATAATTTCTTATCAAATAATGACATGGTATTACGAATTATGATCTAAATTTTGGCTCGGGAATCTTGTTATTTCCAATGAGTTCACTAAATATTCGTTAAAAATCAGAAACGTCCAAATAATTTCATACATCTGAGAATAGATAATGTATCATTTTCGCTACTCGATATCTTGCGTCCTTGTATTTTAGTATCTTGATTCACGGATGCACTGTTGTGATATTGACACTAATGTTAATGTTAGATACGATCAGATATGAATGAATACGATTGATGATGCCGATTTAATATTCCAAGAGCCGATGAAATATTTCAGTCACGTCCAATGTGTAAGCAATGCGTCAATATGTATTGCTATAGATAATACTATACATACTATACTATAATACTAAACATATACATATTTATCACATATTTATCACATGTATTATGTATCGTAATGTATACGCGCTCGCCAACTAAAAGCGCAATGACTCGATCACAGAAAGTTCGCAACATATGACAGTACCAAAACAATCGACAAAAAAGGGTAGTCACTTGCCGCCTATCATTTTCTTTACAAATAAATAGGGTTGGGAAAGTTACTTCGTAAAAGTATCTAGTTACAGTTTCTTTCACTGAAAAAGTAGTTATATTAGGTGTACAAATGAATAATCCAAATTATTCTAAGCAGTTATGAAATCAATTTTAAATTGAATAGATTTTCCCGCTCTTTTGTGATTATGCAATGTTGACATATACCTATTAAAAAGAACATATAGTTTGGCGAAAGGCCCAACATAACCTTCAAAAGTATTCAGTTCAGTATAGTCGAAAATGGCAACAGATAAGGTGTATATCCGACACTGCATTCTTTACGAATTCCAACAAGGAAAAAATGCTGCAAGAGCGTGCGAATCGATTTGTTCCTTTCTCGGCGAAGGTGTTGTATCGTACGATGTGTGCGCATTTTGGTTTAAGCGGTTTAAAAGCGGTAATTTCGGTCTAATCGACAAACAGCGCCCTGGAGGCCCTCCGAAGTGCGATAATGATGATTTGGAACAACCGCTCGCTGAGAATTCGGCACAAACACAAAAAGAGCTTGCAGAACAGTTGGGAGTAACGCAGCAAACGATTTCCAAACGCCTGCATGAGATGGGAAAGATCCAGAAAGAAGGAAAATGTGTTCCGCATGAACTCACTGAAACCAACAAAAATCAACGAGTGGCAGCATGTCTTTCTCTTCTCAATAAGCAGCGTCGAAAGTCTTTCTTGTGGAAAATCGTTACGGGCGAGGAGAAATAGATACTCTATGACAATCCGAAACGCAGAAAGTCATGGATAAATCCCGGCGAATCATCAAAATCGGTCGCAAAACCCAATCACTTCGGAAAGAAGGTTCTTCTCTGCATTTGATGGGATAACAAGGGCATGCTTTATTATAAGTTGTTGGAACTGAGTGAAACAGTTACTGCGGATTGCTACCAACGTCAGTTAATCTGCTTGAGTCAAGAATTGGAACGAAAACGCCCGTATACTGGCAAAGGAGAACGTCCAGTGAAATTGTTGCATGACAACGCCAGGCTACACATTGCTTCCAATACAAAAGACACCATAATGAGTCTTGGCTGGGACGTCTTGCAGCACGGCCGGCGTATTCACCAGAAATTGCTCCATTCGATTATCACTTGTTCCGGTCGATGCAACACACCTTGTCCGATATGCACTTCCAATCAGTGGATGAGATCCGAAAATGGCTTGACGACTTTATCGTGTCCAAAGACGTAACATTTTTCCGAGATGGAATTCATCCGCTGCCTGAAAGATGGCTTAAAGTTATAGAAAGCAACGGCGAATATTGATTGAACAATTTAATTTACTTTCTTTCAAAATAAACCTTGAATGTAGCTGAAAAAATTGGATTATTCATTTGTACACCTGATATAGATATTTTTTCTTGCAGCATCCCGTCTACTTAGACGAAAAATACCATGTACAGGCCACTTGATGACCCCCCGCCGCCTATGGATTCAAAAGGTTCCTACTCAGGTATGTATCTCTTTTGTGTGTCCCATAATTAATGTCTCCAATGTCTCTTAAGACCAAGAAAGTGAAGTTTCATGTCGAAAAGATATGTGACGTTATCCGCTTACCTTTAAAAAGAAAACTATGCAAATTCAACAGGTGCTATATATTATATCAGGCAAAGATCCACGCATGACACGCATGCTAATTATTCTCATACTAATATTCGTTTTTATATAATTTTTATATTACTATCTGTCTCGGGATACAAGTAGAGATTGAAGAGAATACATTTCACAGATATTTTTACGAATAAAAATTACTATCTTTATGTTTTAATAGATATTAGCGTTAATTTTTTGACTGACTGTAGTCGTTTTGTTTCAAGCATATTATACTCCATTTATTAATAACTACGTTCTCCTTGATCGATAGTAACTTCAACATTAGCTAGCGCTTTAACCAATTCACTGGTAATAGCCCATATATATATTCATTTTGAACAATTCTGCCAATTTAAACGAATTTGCACACTCCCAAGATTTTTGGGTCGCTAACTAAGAATCTGGAGTTAAATTTAAGAAATTCAAAATAGCGGATCCAATATGGCGACTTCAAACGGCTAACTTCGATATAATATTATGGATATATATCAAACTCGGTATATGTATGTTTTATCGATCACAAATAACAAATACAGAGTCGAAATAAAAAATTAAAAATGGCGTATCTAATATGGCAGACCAATATTTTTGCTTCTAGTGACTAACGGTATTTCATTATACAGGATATATAAGAAGTACCGGGACGGTAAAATATCACAAAAACTAAATATTTTAGAAAAAAATGTTTCAAATTGAATTGAAAGAATTGGAGGATTTTAAAATATTTATTTACTAACATTATGAGTTTGATCCTGGGTGGCGTCGCCAAGGTTAGGACACGGTACTTAAATTTTTTAAATGGGACCCCCTATTTTTTATTGCATATTCTTATAGCCCTTCTTCAGATCTTTTCAAAGGACTATAACTTTTCTACTTTGAGTAAGCCGTTTCGAAGTTATCAAGCTTCTTATGATAAGATGTCCAGCCAGCGGCTGCAGCAATTTCGTGACTTGTATTTCGGACACATGTAATATTAAAAAGTAATACTAATGTACTAAATTTATAACTGCACTAAAATTCACCTTCGAATCATTTCAAATTAATTGCAATAAATTTGACTTGAAGTAGAATACATTACTTGTACATGATATGCGTTGTTTCATATGGAAAAGATAAATGATTTTTCTTACTGATTTTTCTTTCTTTAATTGAATTATCGATTTTGTTATCTAATTAATACAAATTTCTGTTTATTGGATAAATCTTGTTGTTTCCTAACTTATTCGTTAGACTTTACTTTTTCTTTTAAAGATTAACATTATTCTCAAACGCTTTTGTAAGAATCTTGCCTTAGTTGGCTGGATATTTCTTGGATCTTGCCTTGGTTGGTTAGATATCTTATCATAAAAAGTTCGATAACTTCGAAACGGCTTACTCAAAGTAGAAAAAATTATAGCGCTTTGATGAAGTCTGAAGAAGGGCTACAAGAATATGCAATAAAAAATAAGGTTCCCATTTAAGAAATTCAAAATGATTTTGTTCTGAACTTGGCAACACCACCCAAGGTCAAACTCATAATGTCAGTAAATAGATCTTTTGAAACCCTATAATTTTTATTTGAAACATTTTTTTCTAAAATGCTTAGTTTTTGTAATATTTCACCGTCCCGGTACTTTTTATACACCTTGATATACTTTTACCTTCGTATTAGCTGGTGAAATATCACGACCTCAGAATGCGCCACGTGAAGGCTACGGTAGGATTTTACACTCCATTTTTCTATGCTTTAATTTTTTTAATTTTAACTTTTTGGTTTTCTTATTTTTTGTTCTTTTTTACTTTTTTATTTTTTGTAGCCGTATGGAACAGATATCATACCAGTCTTAAGTGTATACTCAAAATAAAATAAAGTTTGAATGTCTTAAACTAATCCGTTATCTGCGACTAAAAAATCATATTGAATATAATACATTTTCATAATAGAATAACAAAATTAGTCACTTATAGCCGCCATGTTGGATCCGCCATTTTAATTTTTTAAATTTCAACTCTATTTATTATTTATGATCGATAAAATATACATATACCAAGTTTGATATAAATCCATAATATCATATCATAGTTAGCCATTTGAAATCGTCATATTGGATCCGCCATTTTGAATTTTAAAATTTCGACTCCGAATGCATAATCAACGACTCAAAAAACCTTTTGTAGATAAGCTTACATATAAAATATGACATTATTCGCTCTTACCAGTTTTAGCACAAAACGTTTATTTCGACTCACCAGTGAATTGGTGGTTAATCAACATCTTTTGGCTAGTATCCCAATAGTTCTTTATAAAACTTGACATTGCCAAGGAAAAAAATATGTACAACACATACGATTTCGCGATAACACGAATGTTACTCGGCTGACCCAATGGTACGCGCAACTACTTGGGTACATGGCCAAGTATGCTCGATACTATTAACATTTCACGAAAAGCAATGTAAGATCATCATTCCTCAAGCAAACGCGTACGAGCATAAAACCATTGCAACTCGCATGACATGCATATTTTTTACCGCGTGAAGCACGTGGAGTGTCTAATAATTCGATTCTCGTCAGGAATGCGACGTAGTCATGATGTTTCCCAGCGGAGCGAGCGACGAAACCCTAATGTGGCTCTTAGGGCGGCTTCGGGCTGGAACCCCGGGGCTAACAGTTCACGTGCGACACCACACTTCTTCAGACAGTTACGGGTTTTACATTACGGCGCCGTTTAGCGTGTAAGTGTTCGCTATCGTTCGCGCTAATATTTTATATTAGATTTCTCTTTCCTTTTTGTTATATTCTTAATTGTGTTCATTTCTTTCCGTCTTCGACTTAAGATCTGCTTCTGTCCCTTTGTATTGTTGCGTAATGATTGTTTGCATTTTATTTTTGTATTTGTACCTGCATTTTGCTCTTATATAGAATATTACATGAGATCATAATAAATTAGTATTCTGTTCTATATTTTGTTCTATTCTATCTTAATATTCGCGATTACGTGAACTTTGATTATATGTAAAATTAAAGGACGAATAGTTACCCTGATTTCGTTTATCACAGTCTGTTGAAAGCCGCGGAGGAAGTACATTTACCTAAGGCATTACGACAGGAATTTGGCGGTGGATTGAAAGAATTTGTTGGGCCCGAGGCTAACTGTTTTGAAGGTAGCGACGATGAAATCCGATTTTTCACCACGCAGGAGAGGCAATCTTTGGTGCTACATCTACTTCACACGCTGAGGGCCGGCCCGCATGATTTACAAAGTCTGCCGGGTTTTAAGGTGGTTGAAGGCCAAGCGATTATCCCAAAGTGCATTTCGTCCGGTATTATTTCTCAGGTGCGATATATGAGTTGGAGCGCAATGCTTGCTTTAATGCTAATCTTAATGATGGATTTTAATCGCAATCTTAATAATCGATTTTAATGATGGATTCTCCCAGTTAGATATTTTACTTCAGCCGAATTTATAAGTATGCCTTAGAATAGATAGGCAAATATGTCAAAATATTTTTCTCGGTAAAGATTTCAAGCGAACTGAACTTTAAGTTGAAGTTCTACTAGAAACTTTGTCGAGAAAATCGACTTAAACTTGGTTAAAGAGTCCAGCATTAAAATTACGGTTGAGTTTACGTCCGTTCGAGGCTTCTCTCGTCGAAGAAGAGGATTCGTAACCCGATCGATCGCGCTTTCATCAGGTCTTCCCTCTACACGAATTACCTGCGCTAGAAAAACTGCAACGAAGCTGGGTTCGCGCCTTTCTCAGCCCTCAGCCTTTGGACGACATTTGTAAATACTTCGGGGTGAAAATCACTATGTATTTTGCCTGGCTCGGCCACTACACCACCGCTTTGATTGTTCCAGCTGCAGTGGGTGTCATATACTGGGTATGTGTATGCATGTAATCTTTATTTTTTCACGTGTGATCGATCATATTATATTGCGAACACTTTCCATGCTTTTATCAAATTTTTTCTGTTTTAATAGAAGACCAGAAGAAAAACATATTATATATATTAAAACGTAGTAACGAAAGTACGTACTTTACATATTGTTTTATTGATGTATTTGCTTTTGATTTTATTTTATTACTTTCTAAAACCTGATTGTTCTATCTTCATTTATTCAAATGAGAAGCTTCAAGAATTTAAGGAAGAAAATTTTCTCACGAGAAGGAATGATATATAAAAATAATTCAGTGGCATAAGTGAAAGAAGGACGAATTTGGATATATATTAAATGAGTAAGAAAGTTCTGGTCTTCTTTTGCAAAATTCAATCTCCATTTAAAAATAAACAAAAAGATATTAATCAGCAAAATATTCCCCGTTTGTATCGATGACCTTTTGCCATCTTTCGGGCAGCTTGCAAATTCCCTGATGATAGAAACTCACCGGCTTCGAGGCGATCATTAAAGTCATCAATACATTTTCATATCTCTTCAAATGTCACGAAATGTATATTAGCTAAGTGATGCTGCAGCGACTGGAATAGGTGGTAATTGAAAGGCACCATATCTGAGCTATACGTCGCGTGCGGGAGAAGTTCCCAGCCTAACGCTAAGATATGGTCCTGAGTCGCTGAGCAACTCATAATACAACACACCTTTCCAATCCCACTAGATGCAGAACAAAACCTTTTCAGCGTGGATATTGGGCTTCAGCGTCGATGTCAAAAGGTGACCAGGGTCAATCTGTGATTTTTTGCGCTTAAGGTTATCACAAAGAATCTACTTTTCATCGCTTGTAATGATTTTGTGCAGAAAATCTTTTTTTCCGAAACTTTGAAAGCAAAGTGAGTGCGGTGTCACGCCGTCGATTTTTGTTATCTTCGGACAATTCATGTGGAACCCATCTGCCTTCCTTCTGAATCTTTCTCATTGTATGTAAATATACGGAAATGGTTTGCCGCGTAACGCCAAGCTGCTCTGCAAACTCCTTTTCAGTTTGCGCAGAGTTTATATCCAGCAATGCTTGCAGTTTATCCGTTTCAATCTTTTAAAGGCGTTCAGCACGCGGTTCATCTTTGAGACTGAAATCTCCTTGGCGAAATTTTTAATATCACCTTTTACATGTAGAATTACTTGCAACGGTCTCACCATATGCAGCACAAATCATTTTAGTAACTTCAGTAGCATTTTTCTTCAGTATGTAACGTTCAAATGTAACGCAAAGTGAATAGAAAATCGAATATGCTCTTTTGTTATTGCCATCGTAAACACTATTGATTTTTGAAATTATGTGCCAATATGTCAAACATCAAACTGCATGGCATTTTAGAAAGCCAAATGCCAACGCTTTAAAACAGTAGAAAGGCGAGAGTGTTCCGTACGGCACGAGCTGCCATGCGGAAAGTCGGCTAGCGGTTCGGCGCTGCGGGGCGGGCGGCCTAGCTCCCGGAGCGTTCTCGCAAGCGGCGAGGAACGCCGGTTTTTCGCGAGCGAGCGGGACTCCCGCCGGTGCACAGTAGGTCAAATGAGTCTTTTTGTGGACAAAAATCGCTAGACGGTGTAATTCTTAACCGATTTCCATGCTTTTTTTTTAATTTACTCGCGATGAATTGCTCTATAATCGTATCGAGCCCGATTTTTAATTTAGGCCCTCTATTCAAAATGGCGGACGCGCAAATTTGTCAAATGTATAAAACCTGTAAAATATCGAAGATTTTTGGATCGGACAAAGTTTATACGGGCTTTTAAGGCCTCTGAGATACATATGTAAGATCGAAATTCTCAGTTTTTGCCAGTGGAGAGAATCTGCAGTGGGCTGATATATTTTATACCTGCCTGATATCCCCACATTATCAATGTATTCTACTAATGAGTTTGCGTATATGTATTGCATATATATATATATATATATATATAATATATATATATATATATGTAACATATATTGCTGGATTATTTATGAATTCCATAGTTTAACGTAAAATCCTGATATAGGTGACAGCATATCGAGTCAGTACTCAGATGAAAATAACGGATTAAAGTCAATCGTGTGAACTGGCTGTATTAATGATGGTAATACTTATCTCCTTTTTTTTGGGTGTTATCCTTAGATTACTAATTACCAGATCTGATGATATTAGAAGATACTGCATAATATCTCCATTAATAGTTCGTCGCGACTGCATTCTGCTATGTTGGGCACGATTTTCCTAAAAATCTTATTGCTTGCTTCTTGCGCTTCTCCCAAGAAGTAGCCAATGAAAAATAATACAAAATTATAAAAAATAAAACTCCAAAATATTATTTAATTACAAAAAAGGCAAAAATATACTAAGATTTTAGCACATGACGAAATCGTCAGAATAAGAGGAGATAAGTATTACCATCATTAATATAGCCAGTTCACACGATTGACTTTAATCCATTACTTTCATCTGAGTATTGACTTGATATGCTGTCACCTATATCAGGATTTTACGTTAAACTATGGAATTCATAAATAATCCAGCAATATATGTTACATATATATATATATTATATATATATATATGCAATACATATGCGCAAACTCATTAGTAGAATACATTGATAATGTGAGGATATCAGGCAAATATAAAATATATCGACCCACTGCAGAATCTCTCCACTGGCAAAAACTGAGAATTTCAATCTTACATATGTATCTCAGAGGCCTTAAAAGCCCGTATAAACTTTGTCCGATCCAAAAATCTTCGATATTTTACAGGTTTTATACATTTGACAAATTTGCGCGTCTGCCATTTTGAATAGAGGGCCTAATTTAAAAATCGGGCTCGATACGATTGTAGAATAATTCATCGCGAATAAATTAAAAAAAAAGCATGGAAATCGGTTAAGAATTACGCCGTCTAGCGATTTTTGTCCACGAAAAGACCCATTTGACCTACTGTGCGGCGCCCCGCGCCTGACTAGTAGCTCCGATCGTGGCCGCTATGCGGCGCAGCCCGTGATTCCACTGCCCGCAGGCAAGATTCGGCCGCCCGGCTATATAACCGAGCGCGCGCCGTACCGTGCTTCGCCTTGTCTTTAGCCCTATCAGTTGCTCGACCATTCTCAGTGGCAATCTATTCTACTTTTTAGTGCGAGCTGTCGCGCGTGTACTGCTGATTACCGACGCGCTTTCTAAGGCTTTTAGGGGTCGTTCTTACTTCTCAGATTCGAATCAGCGCTCTATACACTCTGCTGAGTGAAGGCGCCCGCCGATACAACCCTGCTGGGTTGAGGCTAATGGTTCGAATCTCTCGTCGGTGGGATCTCGGGCTCACGGCGTTGCCGTGATTCAGGAGCGGCTCGGCCGCCTCCTAGGAGCTGCGAGCTCCTCTTTCTTCCAAACGTCCGGAAGGGCAAGGGGACCTTGGCAATACTAGGAGTGACTTTGGTCGCCTTCTCTAGCGCTTCGAGCTCCTTTCTTCCAAGTGTCCATAGAGAGAGGAACACTTGGTTTTCTCGCAGGAGCGGCTGGTCGGCTCTGCGTGCTAGAGTTCAGCGCTCTTTTTCACGCGTCCTCGGAACCATGGCTGGCTGTAGGCCGTTACGTCCGGAAGGGCAGGCCTTCCGAAACGACGAAGGTCGTTTCGTTACACGTACTTTGACGTGCTTCCGGGTGCCTCTCCCCGTTGATGTCACTGACGTGTATATCTTGCGTGGGACTTTGCGCTGGCGAACATTTTCGCTTTGTACATAGCTGCGTTTATTTTCTTCTGCGTCGTTCTTCTGCGTTATTCCACTTGCGTTTCTATTACGTCCGTTACGTTGTACATTGCGCGTCACTTTGCGTCGTCACGTGCGCGTCCTTCCTCTCTCTCACTTTCACCGCCGTCCCTGGGCACGGGGCTGTTGGTACGCGGTGTTGCGCGTTTCTGCAAGGCCTGTGCCAACCTTAAGGCACCCCTCAGACGTCACCAGGACGATCGGTCGGTCGTCCAATTGTTCGAGCGACACAGTCGCAGGCAGACATCGCTCTGCGATCCGAAAATCACCAGCCAGCTCTCCGGAGCTATTCTATGTTCGGTCGTGCTCCGAACAGAGAGAATAAGTAAAATTTAAATTGTGGTTTCGATTGTGTTGAGATCTAAAGCCCAGAACTTTTTTGCTCACCTAATATATAGAATAAACTGATTCTCTCTTAGTCGACAGAATCATCTCCTATTCGGAGGTACAGAAAAATTTAAACAACTGTTGAATTAACCGTTCAGGTCGGCATCATCGGTAGGAACCAAGCGGTGGAGGATGTGGCGTATGTCCTGTTTTCGGTATTCAACGTAATCTGGGCTACAGTATACTTGGAAACGTGGAAAAGGAGAGGCGCGGAATTGGCGTACAGGTGGGGCACTTTGGATCAGAGGGACGATTTATTGGTCGAGCCAAGACCTCTCTTTACAGTAAGAATTTTTACGATACTTTTTACGACACGCCTTAATGCTCCAATGTTGGCATGGTAACATAGCATTGTACTGCTACTGTGATATGATGAGTATAATTATGCTTTTGCTTTATATTACCGTAATAACTGAGGATGTGTGAAGAGCTTACAACTGTTAGGTGTACAAATTAATTCTCAGCCTTTTTTGTCGATCAACTTTGACATTTATTTATAAAAACATAAATACGAACTCAATCTTCAAAGTAATCTCCTTTGTTTTCTATACATTTTTGCCATCTCTCAGGCAATTGTCGGATTTCGGAAATCGGAAAAATTGTCGGAGATCGGAAAAATGATGGTGGTTTTAATTCAATGAATTCATCGAGGCTTTCTTCGACCTGTTCAACTGATTTGAATTGAGAATCAGTTAGGTGGTGCTGTAAGGATTGAAGTAGATGGTAATCCGAAGGGACCAAGTATGGAGAATACGCCGCATCAGGAAGAATTTCCTAGTCTAAATTTGAAATGGTTTCCAGAGTCTTTTTTGCTATGTAGGACCGGGCATTATCCTGTAGCAGTATCATCGTCCTTCTTCCACCGCCAATAAACGGTCTTTTTTCTTCAAGTACGTCATTCACGCGGATCATCTGTTGTTGGTAGAACTCAGAAATGACGGCCTGACAAGGTTGAAGCATCTCATAATGGATCACGCTCTTCTAATCCCACTGTTGTTTTTGGAATGACATCGCGTCTACAACTGATTTTTCAGGTTATGTTCACAGTAGGATTAAATATTATACCTCATCTTAAAGCTAAAAGATGGCACTTTAAAATAACTATATAGCAGGAAAAAATTCTAATTTGAATAGGTTCTGTAATCGATGAAAGGAGCCGAGAATTAATTTGTACGCCTATTAATAATAATCGAGGATGAAAGACTTTTAACGAATGAGAATCTATTCGTATCAGAAATGTTCGAAGAGCGATTGACATGATCACGGTGCTACTGTGTTCAGGGAACTCTAGAGATTTCACCGGTGACGGGTAGACTGGAACCGACATACCCCAGGTGGAGGAGGAACATGTTTCGATATTTCGTCAGCGTGCCTATCATCGCGATTTGCTTACTCTTCGTCTTCATCGTTATGATTCTAAGCTTCCAAATACAGGTATGATGAATCGCGTGAGATCGATTTGCAAAGCGTTTACGCCGTGTAGCCAAGGACTATTTAAGAAATATGCTACATTGGATAATTATTGGCTAATTATTTCGAATGCAATTCGTGCTTTGATTAACAATCATACGATTCACTGTGCAGCTTTCTGAAAGATCTCTTCCTTAGAAGCAGAAGAAAATACAAAAAAGAGATATAAAATTCATACCGATAGTTATTATTTTGTGCAAACGAATTACAGGACTGGTGGGACGCACATCTCGAATCTGGAGGCTACGGGTTCTGGCTTAGTTATGTGCCAAAGGTGTTACTCGCGGTGGTGATCGCATTGATGGATGAAGCGTACTTCAAAGTTGCGGTGTGGTTGAATGATTTGGGTATGTATATCGATGAACAAAAATTTGATCTTCTATGCAACTTTAATATTACCATTCTCTTTCTTTCTCGCTCTCTCTTTTCTCTTTCTCCCTTTCTCTCCCCTTCACTCTCTCTTACTCTCTCTCTCTCTTTCTCTCTCTCTCTCTCTCTCTCTCTCTCTCTCTCTCTCTCTCTCTCTTTCTCTCTCCCCCCTCTTTCTCTTTCTTTCTGCCTGCCTCTCTTTTCTATCTCTCCTTCATTTATCTGTCTCTTTCAACAAAATCATTTCTTTGTGCGATTCGAAATACAAGTGATTCGCCATTTGCCGACTTCTTCGCATCGGTTTGTGTATTTCACGGTACATTATGCACGTCTAGTTCGAGAGCCTAGCATATACTTTCGATAACTTTTCCTACGGCTTAGCTTTTTCTAGATATTAATTGAAGGACTATATGTATATAAGGAGAACGTTATACTTTCTACATAAGGAACTTCCTTACTAAGCGAATGTTGTTCTGTTGTTTGTGTGACTAAACCCGTGAGATACCATAGATACCGTTTTTACTTTATTTACATCTCGGTGAGCGTTTATGGTGCGGTAGATAGTATTTGTGATTTTTGTGTGTTGGACGCAGAAAACTATCGACTAGACACCGAGTACGAGAATCATCTGATCTACAAGGTGGCACTGGTAATGAGAAATCATAATTTTCAACAAATAGAGTATCAATGTTATATTAGACGTTGTACATACGTCCTCCTCTAATTGACAATAAATAATACCGAATTGAAGTAAAGCCCCTGCGAAAATGGAAGTTACAAAAATTTCCTTATTATTATGAAAACAGCGTTCTTATGTCACATTGCCGTTCTTATGTCGATTAAAAAAATATTACCTGTTAGAAACTGTCAAAAATTATGTCGTCACCGTAATTTGCGATTTTACAATTTGAAAAAAACCACTCATATATTTAGAGGCGGACGCTTGAAGAAAGAAATATAATATAGATTTTGCGTTCTTTGTTTTAACGTGAAAGTGCCTGCTCTGGCTGTCTCTGTCGCTGCATGAACATTCTATTCGAGAGGAAAACATTTGCTTATGGTTAATGACTTCATATGTCAGTACGCTTCTACGTGTACTCGGTACATACGTTCTATGTTAACGAGATTACGATTTACAGATATAATTTACAACGGCCATCTTATATTTCAGTTTCAGTTTGTAAACTCCTTCCTATCGCTGTTTTACATCGCCTTTTACCTCCAAGATCAAGAGAGACTCAAGGAGGTGAGAATTTAATTATTAAAAAAAGAAAAGAAAATGATGAAATATATGTGAAACACAGGTGAAGAGAAGTTGGCTCGATTTGTAGCTTACTATCGAATTGTGCCTCGATATTTCGCTATTTGCACCATGAAATGCCACACAACTGAGAGAGAAAATTAATGTTTCATATACTGTGCTCCAGAAGTCAAAAGATCGCGAGAGAACAGTCAAATGCATTGGTATAATCTGCGCCTGTCTGCACTTTTTCGTTTCAGCAACTGGCGGCACTGCTCATAGCTCGTCAGGTGATCGGTAACCTAAAGGAATCCGCGGTGCCGTACCTGATCGAACAGTTGCGTCTGGCGCGACTGAGTTTTGAGCTGTTCGGGGCCCTGAGTCCTAGCGAGGCGAGACCAGCACCCGGTCAAGAGAGCGAAGAGACGCAGTGCGCTAAAGACAACGAGGAGAAGGAGGAACGATCCACCGACAGCGGCAAGTCGAAGCAACCCCGAAACGTCAGCCAAGCAGAACTGGAGAGTTCCCTCTACAGAGTAGGGCATCCCACTAATTCTCTACTTAGTGACGTTGCGTTCAAGGTTCGGTCTAGATTTAGCCAATTATTTTTTGTTCCCTTCGAGAGCACATTTTGTCTCAACACATACCATACGCACACCATGGACGCGCATATCACTTCGAAGCACTCACAATTGAACGCAACATGTACATACACGTGCTCAAAGATATCTATGTTAAGTCGAATCATCAATAAGTTCACTCCTTTCTCTTCCTACTACCCCCTTTCTTCGATCTTCTTCCTTGTCGAGACGCTTTCGAAAATTTACGAGCTGGGTTACGAGTGAATTGGACACTCGCTCCATAAATCGATTTATTTTATGTCTTGCCTCTCAGGTATATTTTCGTTTGATTACGCTCTTTCAGCACGATGGCTTAGCCAAATTGATAGTAATGTTAACGTTGTATTGTGTTTCTTCGTCGTTTCTTTTTTGCAGAATTTTAATCATTTTTTCCCGTTTTACACCGATCCCATCGACGATGTGCAGGTATCAACCAAAAAGGTAACGTTATACTCATCCTCCTATCGTTAAATATCGATCTTTTCCATCACGAGTAATTGCGATACGTTTTACACGGATATTGGATATTTACACGAAAATAGTAATGTAATAATAAAGATATTATTGCCATGTTCTGTTAAGAAAAAGTATTTTATTAAATATCTCTTTGGACTATAAACAATAATAAATTAGCATTATTGTGAAAAAGAGAGAGAATTTAGATTTCTCATGCGTGTTACATAAAAAAAAATCCTTATGAACACAGCAAATAAAGTGACCGAAAGGAACGTATATAAATTTCATGGCTTATCATGCGTTATTTGTCCTAATATATTTTTCGATCCGTATTTCGCTGAAATTTTTAATTTTTTGAATGTTTGGCACAATTTATATCCCAGATGAAATACGAAACATAGCATATCAATCATCCAAAGATATGTCAAGCACTGAACACATAGGCAATTTTGTGTTCGCATCGTGTTAGTCTGACATGTTTTCATTATATAGTTGATAATAACATTAAGCTGATATTTTTTATTATCTAGTTCGCTGCAACTATTATTAGGTTGGTATATCTTCAGTAAACAGAATTGACACAGATTACGAACTTTGATGAGTATTAAATTAAATAACAAATAGAATGTACAAGTCCAAATTATTTCAAAATTTTTGTTTCCAAAAATACGAATAAAATATCCTATGTTACCTGTCGAACAAACTAAACAAACAATGTTTTACTTGCAGTATGACGGGGCGTTTTCGGAGCATCTGGAAATGTTATCGCAATTGGGCTACGTTTGTCTCTTTTCGTCGGCGTTTCCATTAGCTGCGATGGCAGCTTTACTTGGAAATTTGCTCGAATTACGCGGTGACGCGTTTAAACTGTGCTTTGTGCTTCAACGACCTTTTGGGCGTAGGGTCTCGAATATAGGAACTTGGCAAGTAAGTGGAAAAATCAAATCGACTTTCGTTGTACTGAAAGGTATGAACGATAAATTCAATTGTCCATTCTTTGATAGAATGCTATGGAAACGATGGGCCTGGTCGCTATTTTAGTGAATTGTGCACTGATCGGATTGAGTGGGCAGGTACAACGAATGTTCCCAGAGATGTCAGCAACACAAACAATCTTATTAATTGTGGCACTAGAGCACATAATGTTCGCTATCCGATTTGTTATTATTTGTGCAATTCCCGACATACCTCACTGGGTCGCTACTGAAATGGCAAAAGTGGAGTTTTTAAGGCGCGAAGCAGTTCGAAGATTGTCCTCGACACCGTCACCGGAGCAACAACCAGCAACAGTAATAGGTACATCATTTATTTTTATAGCGTTTTGAAATTCGCTAGCGAATAATAAATTTTTTAGACAATAAATAAAAGTATAAATCTGGTTTTTCTTTAGTGAAAATTTAATGAAATATTTAAGTTAAATTTTAAATTAGAACTCTACTTACTATTTATTTGTACTCTTGAAACTTGGTAATGGTTCAGTATATTCTAAAATGTTTAATGTTGACAAATTTTGCAACTATCAAATACAAATATACAATGTTATTTCTCACAGTTTTTGTCTTGATAGAAAACGACATTAGAGTATCCTATTTTCATCTTTCTCAATTTATATATATATTCTTTCAATTATTAATCTTTGCTTCTCTCCCCCCCCTCTCTCTCTCTCTCTTTCTCTCTCTCTCTCTCCCTCTCCCTCTCTCTCCCTCTTTCTCCCTCTCTCTCCCTCTCTCTCCCTCTCTCTCCCTCTCTCTCCCTCTCTCTCCCTCTCTCTCCCCCCCTCTCTCTCACTCTTTCTCTCTCTCTTTCTTTCATCTTTCCTTCTCACTATCTTGGCCTTTAATAAATACGAAGATTCACCGTACATATGACAGTCCGCTTCACAAACGTGCAGTGGTTTTTAATAATTTTACTTAATCCGTCGATTACATTCTACCTCCTACCAGCTATTAATTTCGCTCGAACTCAGGGAGATTCGTGGTGAGTCCAGCAGACGGAGAGAGCGAAGAGCAGCATTTGCTCGCGGACCGCATCGGCTACGCGACCACATCAAGTCAAGTGGATACTCCGACCTTGGCTTCAACTAGTCACACACCCAGTGGTCCGACAACGCCTAGCGCATCAGTACCAAGGATCGCGGAAACACCACCGACGGCTGAAACGCCCGGCGGTAGCGGCGGAAGCAGTAGCGAAACTAGCAGCCCATTCCTACCCGAGAACAATCCCAATGTGACTACCCGAGACATCCGTAACTCTCCAAGGTGCTCCATACCCGGTGGTGAACGAGGTTCGATTTCGTTTTCTTCTAATTGTCGATAATTATGTATACCAAGGAAATTCATGATAGAAAGATCTTTCCTTTTTACTGCAGATTTTACTGTATTTTGAATATATTGCAATTTCGATTAAAATAAAGGGCACGTATTTTTTATAAGCATTTTTTTTAATGATTAAAAAAATAATTTACATAAAGAAGTATACTCAAATTTAATACAAAATGTCTACACATTACAACTTCGTAGTAGTTAATTCTTTTTAAAAGAGTTTTCTAAAAAGATATAAGTTAACTGTAATGTTTAAAACATGGCTGATATAATTAAAGTGGTACAAAAATTTCAAGACCCAAAAAGTGAAATTTCATGATTTTGGGATAAAAATAATCCAATTTAAAAATATTTCAATATTAGATCGTATATTTAGGTCAAAATAAAATATTTAGATTTTTTAATATTTCGATCTAAAAGTGTGATCACGTGACTTATATAAACTTATTGCTTTCAATGTGATCAACGCTTTGAGGTAAAAAATTGAAATAAAATGTATATTTTGCTATTTAAAAATAGCTCCATTTATTAAATTATTTCTTTGTATAATACAACATCGACATCGCCATGAATCCACAAATATGTAATATAATAGCGATTTGGAATTATTTATGGATTCAGAATGATACAGTAGATAAAATGTGATACTCATTTTGCGAGGAATGTCGGTGCATCTTCGTAATAAATTAGTAGCGGATATTAGCGATACTGGTGGATTCGTGACGATATCAATATTATATTATGCAAAAGAAATAATTTAATAAATAAAGCTATTTTTAAATATCAAAATATGCGTTTTATTTCAATTTTTTTTACATCGAAGCATTGATCGTATTGAAAACAATGCATTTACATAAGTCATGTGCTCGCACTTTTGGCAACCTAAATATACTATGTAGCATTAAAATTTTTCAAGTTGAATCATTTTTAGCTTCAAATCATGAAATTCTATTTTTGGACTTTGAGCTCTTTCGGACCTATTTTAACCATGTAGCTGTTTTAAACTTCAAATGTATTTTATTTTAGTAATCCAACATCTTATTTTGGCAACCTAAATATAGGTAGAAAAATTTCGACATATTTTCTGTATAGAGACTGAATTCAAGAATTAAAATAGTTGCATTAGTACATAAAGATGCGTCTTCATACAAAAAACATTATAACAGTATAGCAAAAGAAGCAATCTGATACCATGAAAATTGTGGCATATGCAAATATTGTGTCGGCAACAGGACGCAATTAATCAGCAATACAAACAAACTAATATTTTGCTGCAAAATATAGAATAACAAATATGTATTTCTTATAGCAACCATATTATAAACATGTTATGCTGTTTCAATGGCATCATAAAAAATACATTGAATGCATGCATGTGATTGCCGATAAGTTTGTCTATCTGAGTTTATCTAGATGTCTAAATCTTATTTAGATGTCTAAAGATAATAATGTGAGAATATTGTTAAGCACGGTATGTTGTGTCGCCCGCCATTTGATAACCAGTCAGCTGATGCTGAGCAGACGATATGATGGACCGTGCCATCGAAAAATAAAAAAAAAATATCTTTTTAAAGGTTATTATTAGGGGCTTGCATGTATTCTGATCATTTTTTCACTTTAAAAAGGCATTTATTGAAAAAAATCGGTACAATATATTTCAATCAAAATATTTTCCATCATTTTCTACAACTTTTTCCCATCTTTCTGGCAACATGGCGATACCGTGTTGAAAGAACGATGTTGGTTCGGCAGCATTCGGATATCACGTCGGAAGAACTCTTCATCTTTTGAGGCTATCCACGAATCGACCCAATTTTTAGTATCTTCATATGATGTAAAGCGCTGCTTAGAGAGGCCATGTGCCATCGACCGGAACAAGTGATAATCGGAAGGGGCAATGTTTGGTGAATACGGCGGGTGGGGTAGGACTTCCCAATTAAGTGTTTCCAAATAAGTTTTGACCGATTTTGCAACATGTAGCCGAACGTTGTCATGTAGGAGAATAATTTTGTCGTGTCTGGAGTAGTAATGAGCGCGTTTTTCCTTGAGTGCTCGGCTCAATCTCATTAATTGTGTTCGGTAGAGAGCTCCAGTAATGGTTTCGCTCGGTTTGAGCAACTCATAATACACGACACCAAGCTGATCCCACCAAATACACAGCACGAGTTTTTTTCCATGAATATTCGGTTTGGCTGTCGATGTTGAAGCATGGCCAGGTGGTCCCCATGAATTTCTCTTCTTTGGGTTATCGTAGTGGATCCATTTTTCATCATCAGTGACTATACGATGCAAAAAACCCTTTCTTTTATGCCTGGCAAGCAACATTTCACACGTGCAAAATCGGCGTTCAACGTCTCTCGGCTTCAGTTCATATGGAACCCAATTTTCTTGTTTTTGAATCATTCCCAACGATTTTAAACAATGTGAAATTGTTTGTTGAGTCACTTCTAATGTAAGCGCAAGTTCTTCTTGCGTTTGGCACGAATCTTCCTCCAATAATGCTTCCAATTCCGTGTCTTCGTACACTTTCGGCCTTCCACTACGTTCTTTGTCTTCCACGTCAAACTCACCGTTTTTAAACTTTTGAAATCACTCACGACAACTTCTCTCATTTAAAGCAGTCTCACCATATGCTTCTACAAGCAATCGATGCGCCTCAGTTGCAGATTTCTTCAAGTTAAAGCAGTAAATCAAAAGTTCCCGCAAATGACGCTTATTCGGCACAAAACTTGACATTTTCGCACAAAAAAATTATGTGATGCTGATACGGAGTCACTAATACTTCAAGGTTATGTTGTTACCAGATGTCCAAACTTACGATATTACGTTTTACATCTGACAATTTCAACATAACCTTCTGGTGGGGCCATCTTTTGTCAAACGGCGGAAACTTATTTGTACTTCTAATAAAACTTACCTTTTTAAACAAAAAGGTAAAAAAAGGCGCCAAATACAAGCACAACACGTATTGTGTTATTTTTAAAAATTTCAAATCCAAATTATTTTTTTTAAGATATACAGGATGTCTCAGAACTTTGGGACATGGGCTTCGTAGGGATATAGAGCTAAGTGAGAGAAACAAAAAAGCCATAATGGACCTCTGCCATAATGTGAAAATAGTAATAGTTTTTTAATTATAACAGCGCAAAGTTAGGCGTTTTCCACGCCCAGCGCGGCCTATAGACGCTCCGCGACAAGCTATGCGCATAGGGGCTAAGCGATAACGCGGCTCGCGCTGATCGTCGCGCGGCATCAAAGCACCAAGACGCCATCGCGACAGTCAGCGCAAGATGCGTTATCGCTCAGCCCCTACGCACACAGTTTGCCGCGAAGCGTCTATAGGCCGCGATGGGCGTGGAAAACATCAAACTTTACGTGGTTATTACTAAAAAACTATTACGATTTTCACATTATGGTACAGGACTTTTTTGTTCTTCTCACTTAGCTCTGTGTCCCTACGGAGCCCATGTCCCAAAGTTCTGAGACACTCTATATATCTCAAAAGAAAAATAATTTGACAAGTTTTACTTGTAAAAATTTATGTTATGTACGTAATATATATCTTAAAAAAAGGAAATAATTTGAATTTGAGATTTCTAAAAATATTAAGTATATGTTACGTCCTGAAGGAGAAACGTAACTTTTCCGTTCGCAGGAAAGGCGAACCTCGTTCGTATACGCGTGCCAGGGAACGGGTCAGGAACCCGACGGGCCTCTTTACTCGGTCATTGACATACGACGAGCGGTCCGTTTTTCTGTCAGGGATGCGAATCCCTTTACCGGGGATAGGACCATGAGTCAACTATTGGAAGGTGGGGTGATTTTGAAATTAATTGATTGAAAATAGACTACGTATTAACAAATTTATCAAAATAAAAATAACAACAAAATGATACAACGGCGCTATTGAGGAATTGACGATTTTCAGCTACGCGAATGATTGTATGTGTATGTGTGTATGTGTGTGTGTGAAGTAGAAGAAGAAAGGAATAGACAAAAGAAGAGAAAAAAAAGGGGAAGGAATACGAATAGAATGTTAATCGGGTGAGGGGGAGCGTGAATGGTCAGGTGAATTTAGGGGAGTGTTCAGAGATAGTTCAGAAAAAGAAACAGGAGAATAGGATATTGAAGGGGTAGAAGGAGTGGACGCGCGAGTAAGAGAAGAGGAAGGAGCAGGGGATAAACGTTGAGAGAGTAGGAAAGGGGGTAGGAGTGTCGGGTCTGGGTCATAATCTATTTCTAAGGAAATATTAATAATAGATCGAAGATATTGAAGTAGGTGTTCAAATTCGTAGGGGTCTCTTATCCCGTATACCGTCTCGAAAAGGTGGAGGACTCGATGGATGGATACCACAGAATAATAATAATGGCCCATTAAATCCGGATTTCAAAAAGGGTGGAATTAATAAAACTGGCGGTAAGGAAAGTAGAACATAAAGAAAACAAACTTATTGCTGATTCCGGGTGTTTCACGCAAGAAAGAGAATAACTGAAAATGGTCTGTGTGGGTGTGCCGCTTCCGGATGTCCAATTTTGCTGACAGATGATTATGTGATTGCGGAAGGTTGGCGAGACAAAGAGTGGTATTCGTGGAAAACACTGCGCACTTGCCACAACTGAGTCACACTTTATCAAAATCTGAATATCTGAATCTGAATGTCTGAATCTGAATACTTGGATGTTTGAATCTGAATGCTCGAATACTCAAAATCTGAATATCTGAATGTACGAAATTTGGATATTTGAAACTTGGATATCTGAATATCTGAATCTGAATGCCTGCGGAGGCGTATGTCGCGGTTTTTATACTGATGATCGGAGGCAAGACCCACCAGGATGGGTAGAGAGATGGCCCTTGGAGAAGGGGTGAGGCCCTAAGAAGAGCCTAATGATGTCAAAGATTTAATTAGTAAATTTTTTATATTGGTCCTGGTTGACTTTAGTGGGAAAAAGTCTTAGCCAT